GTCCTGAGGAGGCCGGGCTCCTGTCAGCGCGGACGCGGCCCCACGACCCCCAGAAGCCTCCACATCAGGTTCTGAGGTCCGGCTCCTGTCCCAGCGGCTGCGCAGGCCGGGCTCCGGGCCGGAGCTGGGGTCGTGCGCCCTCTGCAGGCGGGGGAGGCAGTGCAGGACAAGGTGAGCTCAGCGTTCAGTGGAAGTACCTGCTCGCTCCCTGGGTCCAGCTGAAGCCATTTAAGTCCTGAAAATTCAAGCTGCATGGAGCCCATTATCCCCCCAATTTCTCCAAAAATAGCTAAGGAACAATTAATTGGAAGCAATATGGAAGGACAACAGTCCCTGACCCAAACAGTGCCACTGAACATGACCCTGCCCCTGACTGAACAAGATTCTGACCCAAACTTGATCTCAAGCCTGGCCCTGACCCTAACCCAGGACCCTAACCCTAGCCCCCAACCCGAACAGTGTTCACAATAATCACAAGGTAGAAACCATGCAAATGTCCATCAGTGGTGAATGCATAAACAAAGTGTGGTTAAGGGTTTAGGTCTGAGTTCAGGTTCAGGTTTGGGTCAGAGTTCTAGATCAGGGTTTGGGTTTAGGATCAGGGTGAGGGTGAGGGTTTTGGGTGAGGGTGAGGGTAATGGTTAGAGTTAGAGTTTAGGGATTTAGGCTTATGATTTAGGGTTTAAGATTTAGGGCTTAGGGGATAAAGTTCAAGGTCAAATTTGGGGTTTGGGTTCTTGCTGGGGTTTGGGTTCAGGGCTCATGACTCAGAGTTCTGGTTCAGGGATTGAGTTCGTGGTTCAGGGCTTGGGTTCAGAGTTCCGGTGTGCATTTCAGGACTGAGATTCAGGGTTCCAGTTTGGGGTTTAGGGACATGTTAGGTTTTAGGGTTAAAGTTAGGGGTTAGTGTTAGGTTTAGGGATTACACATGTTCTTCAGTTGTCATCATGGACACAAAATTTCTATCTGAAGTTTCTAAATCTGAAATCTATTTAGTCTGAGTGTCAGGAGCTTGTTCAGAATTTAGGGTCACAGTAACTGACTACCAACAGCATTCTGATGCTAGAGTCTCCCAGTCACCCAGAAGCTGGTTTTTTTTTTTTTTCTTGGTTCAAACATACCCTTTGCAGAGAAGGGTGAGCTGGTGCCAAATTTGGGATGATTTCACAATGGTAGAGGTGTGAAAACAAATATTGTGGAAATGTTCATGGAAAACGAAACAGGAGACAAATAATTTGTCGACTCCTGATTCTTCCACAATAACAAAGACCAAGTTCCCAATAGAATCTGATAATGTTCCCCAGGAAGGACTATGGTACCCATTACCAATACCAAAAGAGGGCCCCCTCCCTCTTTTGTCCATTGGAACAAACCAGTAACTTAGAAACTACTGAAATGAAGAACTCGTTCTCCTTCTTCCATTTCTGGCTAGTGTGCTGGTCTGTGGCTCGATCCCACCTCAAGCACTTGGAAGGTTGATCTCCCAGGTCAGCTGCCACTGAGATGGCTACTTTTTCCAGAAATTCTTCGAGGTGTGGCCGGGTTTCCCCACCTGCTCACAGATCAAGTTGGCAACCTCTGATAGTGGAGCCATGGGTCCTCCAGGCATGGTCCCCCCCAACCCCCCCAACATTGAGCATTAAGTACATTCCCAACGCTGTGCCACCGCACCACAGAATAGAGCCATCACACTGAGGGTTTAGGCCGAGCATGCTAGGTGATGGATGTACCTGCAGACTGGGATGGGTGCTGCTCCCTGTTCTCCCAGACAGGGGTGCCCAACACACTTCTCTCCAGGGGACCTGCATTGGACCTCAGCTTCCTCATGTTCTCCCTAGAGCTGCTGGTCCCCAGACCAGACACCTGCCGGTCTGAGGATGACCAGCGCTGCCTCCATAGGGTTTCCTTTGCCAGAGTCCTTCCCCGGGAGCTCCACATCTCTGAAACATATTCCCTGCATGCCTATCCTCCCCCCTTGGACTTGCATGTGTTTGGTCTCCATCCCTGTGGAACCCTGTGACTTGGAGCATGATTTGGACCAGAGTCAGGTGAAACCTTTCTCTGGCCTTGGGTTGTGAGCAATGCTTTTGCCCTTTGTGGTGTGTCTTCCAGCTTTCTGCATTTCCCTGGTTTCTGTGTGGGTCACAGGAGGAACCAGCCGTTTCCTGTCTGGGGTCAGGCTGTGGTGTCCCAGCAGGAACAGGGGTCTCGGCCCCGAGATTGTGCCCATAATTCCTAAAGTGGCCTGCCTCTATGATTATGTCTGATCTGTAATCCAGTGGGCATTTTAATACCGAATAAGGGAAATTCTACGTCAAATAAACACAGAAGAAAACGAGTCCCCTTTGAAAATAGGTGGCCAGACACAAAGGCACCCCTTGCGTGATCCCACTTACAGAAACATCAGGAGTAGGTAAAGGAACAGAGAGAGAAAGCAGCTTAGGGGTTGCCAGCGTCTGGGCTGGGGGAGAAATGGGCAGGGAGGGCTTCTGGTTCGGGGACTCCTTTGCGGAAGGAGATACTCTGCAGCAATGTTCTGGGGTGTGGTGGCACAGCGTTGGGAATGTACTTAATGCTCATGACGTGTTCAATTGAAAACAAGTAATTTTATTTCAAACAAATAACAAACAGTATACAGAACATGGAAAGATAAAATAACAGTTAATATGTACCAGAGAGAAAGAACATAAGGGGAGGGAATGATACATTCTGGCGGGGTGTCAGTTCCGGCGATGGAACTAAGGGTAATTGTACAAGGAGCTCTCCCTGCGGGGCTGTGGGCTCTGGGTGTGGCTCTGGGAGCCCTGCAGGAGCAGGAGTAGGGGCAGAGGTTAGGATAGGGGCAGGGGCAAGGGGAGGGACAGGGTCAGCCGTAGTGGCAGGTGCAGGATCCACGGCAGGAGCAGGGACAGGATCTGGGGCAGGGGCAGGAATGGGAGCTGGAACAGGGGCGGGGGAAGGGGCAGGGGCAGGTGTAAGAGCAGGGCCAGGGGCAAGGGGAGGGACGGGGTCAGCAGTAGTGGCAGGTGCAGGATCCAGGGCAGGACCTGGGTCAGGGGCAGGAACAGGAGCACGGGGCAGGGGGAGCAGCAGGACTGTAGCAGGTGAAGGAGCAGGGGCAGGACCACAAGCAGGGGCAGGGGCAGGGACAGAGGCTCTGGCAGGGGCAGGAACTGTAGCAGGAGCTGGGTCAGGGGCAGGAACAGGTGCCAGTTCTTCCTGGACAGCGTCAGGCTCTCCGTGGGCAGGTGCCAGGTCACCTGCTGGCCTCTGGTTTCCTCCTGAAGTCGCTGCAGGCACCAACCCTCGCTCCAGAGCTGCTGATGGAGTTGGAGCCAGCTCTCGCTCAGATGGTGGAGCAGCTGTGAGAGGAGAAAAGCTCACCCCTGTGCCTGCTCTCCGTGGGCCTTTGCAGAGACAAAGCCCAGCCCAGGGCCTCCCAGAGAAGCCACAGCCAGGAAGGAACCCTCACGGGGATGTCTCCCCGACTGCAGTCCACCTGCTGGGTGCTCTGCGCCCAGTAGTTGCTCCTGGCCCCACACCAGCCTCTGGGGGCTCCTCCCCGTGGGCCCAGCACCGACCCATCCCCACACACCACAAACACCCAGTCCCAGCCTTCTCACCCTCGGCCTCAGCCTCCGTGGGCTCCGGCTCCTGGACCACTGTCCAGTGACCAACCACCTGGGACAGTGGTCTGGGTGGTGTTGGAGGTCTTGCCAGGCAATCCCCAGCACCTGTTCCTGGGCACCCCTGTGGGGTCACCCCCTCTGGCGAGGAGATGGAGGGTGTGTCCACCAGTTGCCTCTCCATATCCTCCATTGACTTCTGCAAAGACAGGGATGAGTAGCCGGCCCCGAAGCATCACAGCCCTGCCCAGCCATCCTCACTGTCCTCCTGCCCAGTCCCCCTGCTGCTCCCAGATCAGACACAGACCTGTGCGTGCACAGCCCTGCACCCGGGATGCAGTGACCCATCCCTGCAGGGTTATCGGGATAAACCTTGGGCAGAAGGGGTAGCGCCCGCACACCCTGTCCCCCACAGCCAGCCTTGACCTTGAACATGACCTGCCCACTGGGTATCTGACCCCTCATCAGCCTGCTCGTGCTCGGGGTGGCCCCACCCTACATGACTTCTCTTTACACACACACACACACACACACACACACACGGAGGGCACCTGGGTTGCACAGGTCAGATCAGAGCGAGTGGGGCTGCATGGCCGGCTCTGGGCCTCCTGGTGTCACCTTTCTGTCCTTCCCGCCAAATGGCCAGAGGCGTTGGGGAGCCCTGACACGACATCCCCAGCTGGGGAAAGTGTTTGCAGGGTGCACTTTCTTCAGCCTGCAGCCTTCAGACTTTGGGATGCAACATGCAAACATGTTCTTCGTTGGAGGCTATCCAACGAAATGAGCTGGGCAGGGGGCTGTCTCTGGAATGTGGGTGCCTGGTTACTGGGGTGTCAAATTCTGTTGGGCTCTGTTGTCAGGGAAGTGAGGTCACCACTGCCTGGGGTCCCCTTACCCAACTTCCTCCTCACACAAGAGCCCCCGGGAGGGCCCCCCTTGAGTGGGGTCTGGTTTACTCCAGCCTCCAGGCCCCCACCTGGAGGACCCTCCTGCACAACCCTGACACCCATTACCACCATCCCCAGAGGACACAGGGCACAATACTGAAGTTGGGGGACGGCTCTGGGTCTTGTTACCACCACACCTCTGCCTGGGGAAACAGGGGACACCCTGCTGAACTCGGGGTGCTGCTCAAGGTCCATTGCCTGCACTCTGTGCCAGGGGACAGGGGGCACCCCACTGAAGTTGGGGACCGTGTGCGGTCATTACGTGCACTCTTCCCGGGGAACACGGGAAACCCTGAAATGTCTGCAACCCATCCCACAAAACCTGGGGTGAGCAGGCGCCCTGGAGTTCACGGATCTGGGGGATACAGCCAGTTGATGGACATCAGGCAGAAGAGACTTCCAAGGGAAAAAGAAAACTCAGTTCGCAAGACTGGCTCGCTCCCCGCAGTTTTGGAGGACTCCAACTCCCACCCAGGGCACACCCTACCCCCGGAACCCCCACCCCGGTGCACAGAGCGCACTCACCTACCCAGGACCCCCACCCAGAGTCTCTCGGAATTCCCCTTCTCCTGCCCCACCTCTGCATCCTGGGGCAGCTCCCGGTCCGCCCAGAGAGGTAGCTCCACCCCCACGCGGTGATTGGTCGGGGAGGGTGGTGCCCCGAGCCCATTGAATGCGGCGCCTGCCTGTACGGGGCAACCCACCCTCATGCCCACGCCTCCCTGCGACTGCAGGTGATCCCGGAGGCACCTCCTGGCCCCAACACCTGGCTTGGCGGCGCAGGCATGGTTGGGGGTTATGGGCAGGGTCCGCCCCACACACACACCCGGCCCATTCCGCGGAGGCCTCTGGCTGCAGACCACCCCCAGAGCCCTGCCCCTTCCCTTCCTGCACCAACCCTGCCTGCAGAGCTGTTCCTGGCTCCCGGCAAGGGCAGCTGCTCTCAGACCCTCCAAGGCTTGGGCTTTAGGAAATGAAATGGTTTCACGCATTTCCAAGGCAGTTTTAAACCCAAAAAGTAATGGTCTAAGCGGGAAGAGCTTCGCCTTCTGGTCTCACCCATGGAGTGGATAGTGCTTCTTGGACCTTCAAAACATCCTTGTAAGATGAGCCCGTTTATGCTGGAATATATATACATATGCTTGGTTCTGCAGGGAAGCTCCAGGATGAAGAACAGCCGCCTTTCTGTGCTGTTGGGAGTTGTGAACCAGGAACATTTATTTTTCATTTAAAAAGAAAACATATTGTTATTGTCGACACTGAATGAACAAACCCTTTTAAACAGTTTAGAGAGAAAGGAAGAGAGTTTTATTCAAACCCAAGTCAGGACAGCGGCCTGGGAGACACAATCTTCACAAAGAAAGGAGTGCTCCAAGGAAGGAACATTTGGGGCAGGTTTGCATATTTGTTGTCTTGTTTTACATACAGAGTTACACATCATCATAAGGAAGAACATTCCAGAGAGTTACAGACTTTTTCTTATGTTTTCAGTTTGTGCAAGTTGGTATGACTTAAATCTTATGGGAGCCAGAGAGGTTCTTTTGTTTTTCTTAACTTTATGTTTGCAATGGCATTTTTTGGTTATCTTTTTCTTCTCGAAGCAGATGTACAATATGTGCTTGGGACAGAAATAGGGTTCATGCTCTGAGGTTTTGCCCAGTCATTTTGAGCTTGGTAAAATGTTAAAGGATAGCTTCCCGGGGAGCTCAGGATCCGGGCCCATGGATGGTAAAAGATAAAAATTTCCATTAACATTATAATTATTACTAAAGAGAGGAACTTGAGATAAAAGTGCCTTTAACAACAGTACCAAGAAATCAAATGATGCCTACAGAAGGTTACCTGTTCCATGCTCAGCACAGGTAACAGAGGTGTTCCCAGATGCTGGGCTCCTCCCCTTCTCCTGCCCAAATCTCTGAAGCACACAGATAATTTAAAGTCAGAATTTTAGAACTGCCAGACAGTCTGGCACTATCCCTTTGGACTACAGAATAAAACAGAGTAGCTCATTGTCATGACACTTAGCTTAGGGCCACCAGAAAGGGCCCCTGGGCTGGGGGAGAGGGGCGGGGCAACCACAGGCTAAGGCTGCCAGGTGTGGCTGGGACAGGCAGACCTCTGATGTGAGGCTTAACTCCTGTCTAGTTTATGATAATGAGTGCTCTTCACAGATAAAGTGCCATTGTCTGTGAGCTCTGATGTAGGAAAGATTGAGAATTTCCATTGCGATTCTCTCTCTGACCCTTAGGATATGTAGCAAAGTTACATTTAATTTTTAAACACTGAGGGACTTCCTGGTTTTCTTTTCATTATGACTGTGGCTCAATTCCCTTGTGGTCTAAGAATATAATCTAGTTAGTTTCAGGCTTTTAAAATTTGTAGACTTGATTTATGGCCCAACATACCATCTATTTGGGTAAATATTCTAGGACCACTTAAAAATAATGTATTCTGCACTTATTATGTAATGTTCCATATATGTCAATTATGTCACATTTGTTACCAATGTTTTGTCTGCTTTTGCTATCAGATATTGAGAAAGGTATATTAAAATCTTCAAACAATGCTACTCTATTCAACATTGCATTGGAGAATCTACCCAGTGTTTTAAGGCAAGAGAAACAAAAAGCATAAGAATTGAGGGGATGATTGTGACTATTCACAGATAATATGATTGTGTACACAGAAAATCCAAAATAGTCTATAAATATCCTATTAGAATTAAAAACGGAATTTAGACATTTGAGATGGATTATAGCTTAACATTAGACAATTTCTGGAAGAAAATGTAGAACATGTCGATCTTGGGGTAGGACACAGAATGCACTAACCATTTAAAAGAATTCATGGGGGCGCCTGGGTGGCTCAGATGGTTAAGCGTCTGCCTTCGGCTCAGGTCATGATCTCAGGGTCCTGGGATCGAGTCCCGCATCGGGCTCCCT